GCATATAGCTAAAATCCAATGATGGTTATATAATAGCAGCTGCATTCTGACATGATAAGCTCTATGTTTTATATTCAATTAACGTATGATCTGATTAGTCGACTAATCGAAAAAATAATCGATGATTAATCGATTATAAAAATAATCGTTTGTGGCAGCCCTACAGATGACACAAAATCTATCCCAGTGAATTTCATCTATTTTGGCAGAGATGAAGCYTTGCTAAAGGAGAGATCTGTTTTATTCTAAAGCTGATCTGGATGACTTCTCGTACATTTTTTATAGATGATCTTCTGTGTTCCTCACAGTTCAGGCTGTGCCGTTCTCAGTCCTTTAGGTTTAATTCTAAATGACTAGGAACTAGGTTTTCAATGAAATACTGACAACAATTATTTAAACCAAAAATAAAACTTAAGATTAAGTCTAAGATTTAAGCACAAATAACCATATATACTTCATAGTAAAACATAGTGAACGAAACCATAGTGATCAGTTTAGTTAAATTTAAAAATAAAACTGAAAAAAATCACCTTACTATCAATTAACAGTTGATTAAAACAAGTATTTGCATAAACAAATAAAGAAACATTGGAACAATATTCTTTTGTGTGTTTTTTTCTAAATTATAATTCAAGAAAATAGGTTGTCATTCATTTCATTATGTAACTTTGATTTATAAAATGATAATAACTTTTAGTTAAAAGAAAATTTAAATCAAAAGCATACAGAATATTATTATTTTGTTTATTATCTTAATTAAGAAGAAGGAAACATCTCTTTATGTTTGAGAAGACACATTGTGGCTTAAACTAAGTTTTAAAGAAAGAGTGTTTTGTCTCTCTGAAGGAGGTTTTCTGAGATGAAGGTCAAAGACAGGTGGAACGGTTTATTCCACCTTGAGGTGACCACTACACTATATTCCTGCGTCCATGTTATTAAAATGATTTTAGGTCAGAGCTACTTCATTTTAAGAAACGCTGCTAAACCAACGGGAAAGGTTATGTCTATGTTCTACCTGCTTTATTATCACCACGTCAAAAGATGAGCAGTAACATAATTGCCCGAGTCTGTTTGTGTGTGTTTGTTACCAAAATAGCTCATGAACCAGTGTAACTCACTGGAAGTATTATATGTTATCTATTATCTCTATTTAGAGCCAACCAGATGCAAGATGGCTGCCACAGGAAATCATCCTTAGCAAAGAAAAATCTATAACTCAGATTTGAGCTAAAATTTATTGCTGTAGCTGAGAGTCACTGTAGATATCAACATTTAACAAATTTAATTAAGATATTTTATAGAGTTTTTCCATTAAATGTATTTTTTGGGGGGAAGAAAATGTCAAGCACCTTATGAAAGAAATTTGAACTTTGACAATAACATTTCAGCTACATTGGTGTCACATTTTTGCACTGCTCTTTTTTTTAAGTGTTGCAACATCCTGAACTCACTGATGCGCTTCTTTCTCCCGCCCTCAGATCCAGAACGCCGATGACGTTTTGATCTCACCGCTCGAGAGGTTCCGCAAGGAACAAATCGGAGCTGTTAAGGTACGTCTGCAGTTTGCACGTTGGGCTCGCGAGTTTTTTAACGCACGGCAGCGGTGCCGCTCCGTTCTGGTCCCGCTCAGGCTTGTGGCGAGCAGTCGGAAAGTCCAACTTGTTCAGATAAACGATGGGTCACGGTCCAGAGTCAGTGACGAGGTCATGGGAACGGACAGAGGGAGGGAGGGAAGGCGGCGGACGTCACAAACAGAAAGATGGTTGAACTCAGAGGCAGCGTAAACACTGAGTGTGTGGTGTCTGGTTTCAGCTGCTTTCTCAAGTCAAACTATCCCATTCAGCTCATTTTTTCAAAGAAAGAGTAATAATAGGGTTGGCTGGGATGGTTGTTAAAAAACAGGTTTTAATTTGGCTTTGGTCTGAAGGTGAAATCATAGCAAGTTTCTGTTTAAAGCGACTTTTAGAGCGTGTCATGTGTGTGTGAGTGGCACATCTTAAGGGTGATGCTGCTGATCTGAGCATGTGGAGTTAGATGGTGAAGAGAACCATTTCCCTCCATACTTTGTCAGTCTCTTTATGCAGATTATAAATAGACAACAACAGGTAAACAATAGGTTTTTAAGGGCGAATATATAAATCGGACAGTTAAAGTTGAGCTGCAAACAAAACAAAGCAAGTTTCAAATGTGTTCAAATTATAAAGGAATTGCAAGTGAACCTGTACCTGCAACATTCCATCACTGTAAATTTCATTAAGATATCGTATCTTAAAGTGTAAAATAATAATAATGGTAACGAAACTAAAACGATTTCATAAGAATGTCGTCTTTCACACCCTTGAAATAAGAGTTTCAGTCAGGTGTTCACGTTGCAACATAACATGCTGTTTGGTTGTTTTCCACGACTGAGTACGGGCGTAAATCTTTGTAAACAAAAGTTGCCATGGCCTCCGTTATATTCATGTCCCGTGGAGAATGGCCTGATAATGTTAGCGATGCCTTAGTTTGTTTTGTTTTGCCCCAGACGACTTGTTGTCGGGAGCTAACGGTAGCACGCTTGGAATGTCTTCATCACGCAAGAGACTACTGAGGGGGTAAACAGATCTCATGCCCCGATATTGAAAAACTGAAATGAAATCAATCCAAGGTTACGTTATGTAAAAATCCTGCAGCACTTTAGTTCTGTTTTCATAGCTTTCTGATCACAGTTTGTCATTGATTAGATAGATTTACTCCATAAATGGAGAATCTTCTTTTTGTTCCTTTCATTCATTTGCACAAGGTCGAACTCAAAACCAATACATTTTGAACACTGCTTAACTCGTGAGTATTGTTGTCGATGTTAGAATTAGACGCCCTTACCTTTTAAGAACACATTTGTTGATTTAAAGAATAGCTTTGCTACATTTGTATCTAATCAACAGAGGCATTTATACTACAAAACCCCTCATTCTGCTTGTTTTTGGCCAGATGCATTAAGTATTCAGAGACTCTTTGTGTTCACGTTACATTCATGACCACCACAAACATCTTGAAGACATTTGGCATGAAAGGTTAAATAGACTTGAAGCTTGTTGGTGTCGCGTGTGTGACAGATAAGCACACGTAAACAGTTCTCCATTTTCCTCATTACCAGATGTGAAAAAAAAATTAATCTGTCAGATGATTGGTTGCTTGAAAAGAACTGATACTTTCTGACAGACTAAAAAAAGGTTCTGAGAATTTAAGGGCCCACACTCTGAAGAAACAAACAAACATTTTTATTTTTATGGCATGCAGCTGAATATTGTCTCTTTATACTGGGAACGTCTGAGACAAGGTGCTGGCATTCAGACAAGCAGTCCTGTATTTCCTCTCAGAGAAAACGTTTGGCTAAGGCCCTTTGTGATCATGTAGATATTTCTGTGCTGRTTGGRTGAACAAAATCATGAAGCCTTTATYGAAATGGTGGCRATTAATAAGTTCCTTAATTGAACATGAATCGAGAATYTGAARTAAAKTRAGCACAAAATGTAAGGAGGTGGATTATTTTTTATTGCATCTTGGCAATAAATCTTATAKCGTTTGAAAGCTTGTTAGTTTCCCTTTTAAAAGGCGCCACTTTTGTAAGGAACGTGCATTTATGGGATGAGCTGTAGAGCTGAGTGGGTTGTGCACATGAAACATTAGCCAAATCCTCTCTGCCAAACAGCTTTTTGTGCCGTCATTGTTGACATTTGTTTTGAGCTTCTGGTACCACCAGGTGTTGCCAYTCAGAAGCTGGTAGAAGATTTGTCACCAAGAAGCATTGTTACGACAATAACACAATCAACCAAACACTAATTTCCTTACTAAGTGTACATTTTGTCTGGATGACAGTCTCATCAACACATCCTGGTTTATGGCTGCGGATGTTTTGTACAAATTATTATTCCTTTCTGGATTTATTATTATTATTCCAGACAACTTTGTGTTTTTGTTCCTGAGCCTCTCTGCTTTCATGTTTTCCTCAGGAGGGAAAGAAGCAGTTTGATAAGGAGACAGAAAGGTATTACTCTCTGCAGGAAAAATACCTCAGCGTGTCCTCCAGGAAGAAGGAATCCCAGCTGCTGGAGGTAAACTCGCTCGAGACTCTCGCAAAGTCCCAACAAGTTCCTTCCTCGCTCGAGTAACACGATCGTGTGCACCGTGGGTGGGTGTTCTCTCCTGCAGGCTGACTCACAGATGAACAAAGACAGACAGATTTTTTATGACGCCTCCCTTCAATACGTCTTCAAGATCCAAGAGGTGCAGGAGAGGAAGAAGTTTGAGTTTGTGGAGCCAGTGAGTTCACAAACTCTTTCTCATATTTATAGTTTGTCAAATTTCATGTTGAAAAGACACAATCCCTGATTCAGTAAATAAAAAGTAATTGAGACTTTCCTCTGCTGCTTCTAACACGCTGGCTTAAACATCAACTTGTAACCGCAGCCATAATCATGTGTTTACATGTAAACATACATGTAAACATTCTCGTAGGAAAAAACAACTGAGCCATGAACAGCAAAGCACACATCACACACACTGTTCTAGGGACAGATATCAGTAACAGCTACTTCCTGTTGCTGTGGCGGCACTTCCTGTGAGGAGATTTCTTCGGGCTGACAGAGAGGAAAAGTCTTTGTTGTAAAGTAAACAAAGGCAGCAAACCAAACAACAGGCAAACCTCAGAGGGCTTTTCTCCTGTCGGGGCTGTTTTGATTGTTGCAGATGACTGATAATCCGCTCTTTTGTAATCCTCTCATTATTTTCCTCCACTCCCATGCCTGGAGCTGACAGTTTCTCCCWCTGCTCCGCAGCTATTAGCCTTCCTGCAGGGGCTGTTTACCTTCTACCATGAAGGCTACGAGTTGGCCAGTGAGTTTGAACCCTACAAGCAGCAGCTCCAGTTCAACCTGCAAAACGTGAGTGTTCAATGRCACGTCCGAGTCTGAGACTCCTTATCTCCTAAAGCCCATTTATGTTCAGATTTCCTGCATTTTAAGGCAAGAGGAGAGGAAAAAGCTAAGATGCAGTCTTTGTTTTCAAAATAAAAGCTCCACAACCTTCAATTCATTCTGTTTTTCTGTGTCTGTTAAATAGATTGTAAACAATCAGCTTATCTAAATTTATTTTGAACATCTAAAGATTACCTACATCGTTGTCTCTGTCCTGGGCTCCATTTACGTAACTTAATATCAAAGATCTGCTGAGCCTGGATCTGTTTTTTTCACTTGTTCGATCTTGTTGTTAATCTTTGTAATCACGAATAAACTCAGTGAATGAGTAAAACCAATCCAGCAACTGTTTAGAGGAACTGCGAAATCTCAGATAGCTGTAGAAAAAAAAATCGAATTAAAAGGTTTACATAATGTTTAGATAAATAATAATAGTGATCAAAAGGCCTGACGTGAGACACAAAGCCAGACTGACTCACTTCAGAGGTTTATAATTTGGCCTGTGGCGATAAGCAATATTAATCGCACAATAAATTAAAGTGAGGTTAATAATATTCATTTATCAGCTTGTTTGTTCTCTACGTGTCTCCTTAGCGTAGGAGGAGAACTCTGGTGTCAGGTATTTTTCAGGCTCATGGTCTCATAAAAACCTCTGCAGCAAGAGAGCCCCGTGAACAGGCATTTAGCTAAAAGAGCATCGCCAGGTTTCTGACGCTTCTTTCATCTGGCYATGCCTCAGGACGCCCTCAGAGCACCGTGCCAAACCTTGGGTTCACCAAGAGTTTTTAGTTTTTTTACTCTACGTAAATTTAAGCTTAAAAAAATCGGCGTGGGTGTAGCGCCGATGCTATATTGCCTTATATGTATTAGCTCAGCGCTAGCGCGACAAACTCTAAGCTGAGGGTGTTCTTCCATGAAGCAGCTTTGTTGTCCTCCATCCATATTTTCAGTTCCAGGCTGAGTCATTTCTACCTTCTCCTCTCTGTCAACGCTCTCTGGTTTCATTTAAAAGAGTCGATCARCAGATARTGTCCAAGATTAACCTTCAGGGTGGATATAGCTCGCTAGCAGCCTCGCACCGAGGACCTATCCATGTCATCATTTACCCAGAATGCTTTGTGTGTAAATAAAATGGCCCAGTCCGTGTAAAAATATATTTTTAAACTTTTAATTTAAAAATGATAAAAACTGAACATCCTACAGTTTTTTTAGTCTTTATTTTACAGTTAAAATATATGTTTATCAAATAAAGTCAAATGTTACAACTAATCATGGATCCCTTTAAAATGGACATTATCATTTATCACAATAATTTCTGAGATAATTTATTGTCCAGCAAAATTTGTTATCATGACAGACCTACTCATGATCATCAAACATGTAAAGAAGTGTTTTTGTAATTCTCTTTCATGTGTGTTTTTTGTTAAAGGCACGTAACAACTTTGAAAGCACCCGTGCTGAGGTGGAGAGGCTGATGAAGAGGATCCGCTCTGCTGAAGATGACTTCAAAGCCCCCAGCGGCTTCACCATGGAGGGATATCTGTATATACAGGAGAAACGTGAGAGACTCTGCACTAAAACCTGCCTTTATTCTCTCACTGACACTGTGAGAGTCAAGCACAGAGGCAGAGAGTTATTTGCTTGTGTCATCCAGGTCCGTTGGGGAGCGTGTGGACCAGGTACTATTGTACTTATGAGAAGAGCTCAAAGATGTTCACCATGAGCAACGCAGAGACCAGACCAGCCAGCAGACAGGTGATACTGATGCTGTCTGTGATTCAGCACATTTACAACCAGTTTTCAGTCTAGTTCTTCTCATCTCATCATCCATAATCTAAATTATTCTCCCCGAAACGGACAGAACGGCGTGGTGAACGGCTCCCCGGAGATGTTCCAGCTGCGGTCGTGTGTCCGAAGGAAAACGGACTCGATTGACAAACGCTTCTGCTTTGACGTCGAAGTGGTGGAGAGGTGAGAGAGGACTCTACCCGAGACACTCGGTGTTGTCCCGATGATGATTAAAAGTTCTTTTGGAATTCAACTATTCGAGGCGTGGCTCCTTTGAAGTCAGGGGAAACTATTTTGACTTGCAGACATGGCGTCATCACGCTGCAGGCGCTGTCGGAGGCCAACAGACGGCTGTGGATGGAGGCGATGGACGGGAAAGAACCTGTAAGGACACATCCGTAACTTTAAAATGAATGACGGAAGAAAAATAAAAATAAAATTAACACTCTGTTCTGCTTTGGATCAGATTTACACGCTTCCTTCTCTGCTCAGTAAAAAAGAGGAGAGTAAGTATAACTTCAAATTAGATTAATCTGTTTGTGAACATGCAGTCCTCGTTTGTTTTTGTTTGGTCTTTTTAGAATTTTTGCTATTTTCCTGTTTGTTTTGCAGCATTTCTTAACGAGGCGGGCTTCAACTTTGTTAAAAAGTGTGTCGAGCTGATTGAAGCGAGAGGTATTTCTCACACCTGGACTGTTTAAAAGAGAAAATCAGCTTTCACTAATGCTCTTCTCACGATGACGTTTGTGCGTAAACCGGTCTGCAGGCATCACCACCCTGGGACTGTACAGGACGGGAGGAGTGAACTCTAAAGTTCAACGACTGATGTCAAGTGTGTTTGGTGTGTTTTTTTTTTCTGGCTCGGACAGATTTATTTATTCTGATACTATAAATAGTGTATATATTTAGAAGTCCATCCCTGAATATTAATCCTTTATTATTTTTCTGTCTTCCAGCATCTGCAGCTCCCTCTGACATGCAGCTGGATGCAGAAACCTGGGACAACAAGACCATAACTAGTGGTCTGAAGGATTATTTCAGGTAATACATGCACAATAACTTGGTAACCCCCTTTTAAAAAAAAAACCTGAAGAATTATTAATCTGTAATGCACATGCAGGTGTCTAGCAGAACCACTACTGACCTACAGGCTGCATAAAGATTTCATCAAAGCTGCTAGTAAGATCTTTCTGCCTTTTATTTAAACAGCTAAAGTTCACAGAAAAATGACGGCCATTGTTTTCAAAGTGTGTCTGCGATAAAGAAAAGTAAACCATACTCTGACGTTTTTATTTTGTTGTTGCAGAGTACGATGACCACAGGCACAGAGTGACAGCGATTCACGCACTTGTCCACAAACTACCAGAAAAAAACAAAATTATGCTGGACATCCTAACTCAACACCTCCTCAAGTATGTTCTGGTTTTATTCAAAGTAAAAGACATTGAGAACCATTTGTATTAAAGGTGGGGGGATTAAGTATTTTACAGGCACATAGTTCAATTCAATACCACAATTAAGTATGCTCCCTTCAGTTGTTATGAAAATTTTATTTATTTATTTATTTATTTATTTATTTATTTATTTATTTATTTCATTTAAAAATAAAAATAAAAATGTTATACACAACACAAAGAGAAAAAAAATCACACTTGAAATGAAAGGAGGCAGAAAGAAGAAAAAAAATCATAATATCTGCCCCTTTTTCCCTAAATTAATTTCAAACAATAACAATCAAGAAACAAAACAAAATAAAAACTTCAACAAAACAAAAACTTCAAATGCTGCATATAACAAAACATCCTTCAAATCTAAATGCTTTGAAACTGGCCTCCAGTTCTTGAAAAACCTACTACCATTTCGGACATTCCCACTTCAGCACGTCTTCGCAACAGTGATTSGTGAGGTTTACAAAAGTCCAACCGTTTTCTGACGAACCGTGTCATCCACWGGAACTGTAAAAAGAGACGTTCAGACATTCAGTTCTACCAGGTCTGGTGGAGACGTGTGGGGGAGGGGTGCTCTGTGGGGAGGGAGCTCAGCTCCAGACCGAGCTCCAGGAAGGAGCTTTGTGTAATTAGGCGGTGCTTTGTACCAACAAGGTTTAGGCAGCTCCACATGGCTACAGGAGATTCAGGGATTTCTCAAACATGCATGAARGAGTCAAAACAACACTCTGAGTATGTTTTTAATGAGGGAATAACATTATAACACGATATAAAGCACAAAAAAGTGGATTTTGCATAATATCCCTCCTTTAATGAAATATAAACCTACGGGCTTTTTAAATAATTGTGTCAGATTTCCACTCCGACCCACAGATATTGGTCTGATTTTAGCATTGAAATGTAAAATCTCTACGTATTTGTATCGGTTTTCCTTCTGATAACAAAAGCCCGATAAATTAACACCTGAATTTGACCAAAATGTGTTAATGTTTGTGGTCCAGAGACGTTCACCAAGTGCGTGATTGKTGATATCAWCAAACTGGATTATCTCAGGGAGAGCATCATCCAAACTATTGTTTGAGACAAAAWGTTAAAAATAAATATGGCACTTTTTCCATAACTTCAGTGAAATGGTTTTTATTTTTGTACAGACAARGTTTGCCTATGGAATGCATGTAGTGGGGTATCACAGTAAAAGCTGACAGAATGTCCCTGACAGGAGATATGTGATGTCAGCTTAATYGCGGAAATTAAGTGTTTAACAATATCYGCATYTTGAATATCGACAAAAACTTAGTWTCGAGCYTCTCTACTCACTGTTTGTTTTTGTGTGTATCTGTGTGTATCTGTGTGTAGAGTGTCCTCCCACAGCGACCAGAACCTGATGACCGTGTCCAACCTGGGAATGATCTTCGGCCCCACGTTAATGAGGTCCCAGGAGGAGACGGTGGCTGCCATGATGAACATCAAGTTCCAGAACATCGTGGTGGAGATCATCATCGAAAACCACGACAAGGTGGATTAACGAGCTCTTTCACACACAGTGTAACCGCAGACACCTGTAACACACACGTCTTCTTGTGCGTTAGGTGTTCGGTGAAGCCCCGGACCTCTCCGTGCCGCTGCCTCCGGCTCCGTCCTCTCGATCGACTCCCCGCAGGAGGAAAGCCATCTGTCTGTCGTCCGGAAAGAGGAGGGCTCGCCTGTACCCTCCCGCTCTCTGCCTGGCCGACAACGACAGTGAGTCTTTTTTGGGAATCATAGCTGCTTGTAGGTTTTTGTTTGGCTCATCATCACTCAGGAACAAAAGTGTTCAAGTTTTCATCCTTAGCCTGCTTGTGTACCCAAGTGTGTGAAAAGATAAACACTTAAAATCTGAAAACAAGCTTATTTTCCCCGTGTTTTTACTGGATTCAACACAAAGAAAAATCTTTTGTAGTTCACTCTGTCGAAAAAGTAAACCCCTTTTTTTTAAATTGCTTCATTAATAACATGCTTTTGATGATTGGATTGAACTTAACAGCAAATGTTTCCAGCTGTTGCTTTATTTTTGAGCTTATTAGTGCTTTGTGTTTGCCTCATTTTACGACAGAGCCAGTGCTTAGTGGCACAAATAATTTAAACTGGTTTGAGAACCGCAGATCAGCTCAGCTGTTGTTTTGTCTCTTTTCCTCCCTCAGGTGATACGTTCAGCAGCAGCTCCAGCACTCCGATGGGCAGCCAGGAGTCTTTGTCCTCGCACTCCTCTGAAAAGAACGAARTGTCTCAGACCTCTCCTCCATCGTCTCCCGCCACCGAGCCCCCCGTAACACCGTCGTCCCCTCCTGCAGCGTCCCCCTGCCCGCCACCACACAGCTCGTCCAACGGGAAGGATCAGAGGCAACCTTCAGACGGCGCTCTCTCCTCCCACCTCACAGCTTCCTCTTCCTGGACCTCAGCTCCGCTCTCTGAGCAGACTTCCTCCATGTCCTCCTCCACGTCCTCTTTGCTCTCTGCAGTGGAGAGGTCCTTCAACAGGAACTCAATTGCTTCCTTGTCTTCTATAAAAGACTCCAGGTCTTCGTCCAGGGTCTCTGCATCCACGGCCTCCYTCCAGAACTCCTCAGCGGAACATCCCTCGTGTGTGGAAGAGGGCGGAGCTGTGCATAAAGCATCCTCAGGCTCTTCTATGAAGAGCTCTCCTTCAGATGATCAGAGGAATACGTCGTCCGCTGCCGTCACAAAGAGCAAAGCCACAAACTCTACCTCTCCTCAGCAACACAGCACCGCCTCCTCCTCGTCTTCCTCCTCCTCTTCACTATTTCCCTACCAGCTTTCTGAAGCTTCCTCTCTCACCTCCCTGCACATTTCCGAGGGTAAATCCAACTTGAAACATCTCACTTTTTAGTCAATCTGTGAATCTGATTCTGATGTCTTGTGTATGTTTTTTTAGATTATAAAAGCTGTCACGGGTCAGTGCAGAGTCTCATGTCGCTGGACCAGCAGGACGGAGCACACACACGGAAAACACACACCCGCTGTGGCTCCGACCTGATCCCGAAACGCTCTGCAGCCACGTCCAGCAATGGTTACTCCAGACCTGCGTCACTGTGAGTGTATTGCCCCTTTTCCACTAGTGCCACTTAGTGTAGTGTCGGTACTGTCAGTGTCGGTACTGTCAGTGTTGGTACGGTCAGTGTCTGTACGGTCAGTGTCGGCACTGTCAGTGTCGGAACGGTCAGTGTCTGTCCGGTCAGTGTCGGTATGGTCAGTGTCGGTACTGTCAGTGTCGGTACGGTCAGTGTTGGTACGGTCAGTGTCTGTACGGTCAGTGTCGGTACTGTCAGTGTCGGTACGGTCAGTGTCGGTACTGTCAGTGTCGGTACGGTCAGTGTCTGTCCGGTCAGTGTCGGTATGGTCAGTGTCGGTACTGTCAGTGTCGGTACGGTCAGTGTTGGTACGGTCAGTGTCTGTACGGTCAGTGTCGGTACTGTCAGTGTCGGTACGGTCAGTGTTGGTACGGTCAGTGTC